TTAGGGCTTTAGGGCTTTAGGCTTCAAAGCTCATCCCTATGCCTCCTTTCCCGCCACAAACCCTGAATTCACCTTGAACCTTTAAACTCAAAAAAATCCCTACACCCGTAAACACATAAACTCCTATACCCTAAACCTCAAAAGCCCCAAACCCACAAACCCATAAATCCTAAACCCTAAACCCTTCAAACCTTGAGCCCTAAACCCTAAACCCTAAACCCTAAATCCTAAACCCTAAACCCTAAATCCTAAACCCTAAACCCTAAACCCTTCAAACCTCATCCAGGGCACAAGTTCGCAGGAGCATGGAACAGGTTGACTTGTCGGGCTGCAGCCCCTGTGAGGGAAGGTCGTCCAGCAAGGACAGTGCCTGGTTTAGGGTTCACGGTTTAGGGTTTAAGGGTTTAGGGCTTTAGGGTTTAGGGTTTAGGGGTTTTTGCTTGTGGGGGATTTGGAGTTTGGGCTTTGAGCCTTTGGGTTTGGGGTGTAGAGGTTAAGGTCTAGGGGTTCATTTAGGCTTCAGGCTTTAGGGCTTGGGGTTTGGAGCTCAGGGTTTAGGGTCTGGGCTTAGGTGCTGCACATCAGCGCTGGGTTGATTGCCATCCCGGGGCTGCTCATAAGTAGCAGTTTTCAAAGCACTGCTGCTCATGAGACCCAGACAAAGCTTGCCTAACCCTATGCCCTAAACCCTAGACACGTAGATACCCTGAGCCCTGACCCCTCTGCACCACAATCCGAATTCTATAGGACCCTTCCAAAAACCCTGTGATGATCTCTAAAACTCCCGACAAAACGCAAAAAAAACAAAAACCCCACGAAACTCTTCCAAGTGTGCTCAACTAGATGCTGTACAACCACTTTAAATGCTTCTGAACTCCTGCAACACCCTGTGCGCCTTGAACAGCCCCGAACTTTGTCCCTACAACCGATGCAGCAGCGCAGGTCTTGTTCCCACGTTGGTCTCTTTGCTCTACCGTGTCAGGTCACCCCCTAAACCCTAAACCCTAAACCCTAAACCCTTAAACAAGCCCTTTTTCCGAAGGCAGGCGACAATCGGTTTATGGCTTTCGGGTTTGGGTCGCGCTTTAGGGCTTCAGGGCTACCCTACACCAAGACCCCCTAAACCCTTGCGGCTCAGAGCGATCCTTCAGATAAAACCACATCTGACACAAACTCACCGGTGGCTCCCATGCTCGGTATCTCCCTCATATACCCCGAAAAATAGACTCCCCAGCCTAAACCCCCCTTATGGTTTGGGTACTTTCTGCACAAGCTGGGCACCAGTCCTAAGCCGAAAGTCATTGTGTTGATGATATAAACAAAAATCCGACATGACCATGAGAATAATGGGTATTATGGGTGTCTTATGTGCAATGTCATGCTGGATTCATGGCATGAACAGTTACATTCGTGCTGCCCTTTTGCGCTGTTGCTGGCCATCTCACAGCAAGATCAAGCAAATACATCAAAATGGGGGTTTCCGAAAATAGGGGACCCCAATATAGTACCCTAAATAATCCTTATTATAAGGACCCCCAAATAAGGTACCCCTAATTTTCGGAAACCCCCAAAATCTTCCTCCGAGCTTTGACTGGGAG